GAAACTGCTTACAGCTTCAATCTTTTCTCTATCATGACGTTTCTTATTGGTCCAGGCATGAAGATTTTTGTTTTCTTGATGGTGAAATGTAATCTATAGTGAAGGCAGTAGGTAGTCTTTAGTAAGTGCTTGAAGTCTTTTTCACTGCCTGCAAGCAAAGTTGTGTCATCTGCATAATACAGGGGTTTTTTATAAGACAGTGTCAGTTTACTGTTTTCTGAGTGAACTGGTATGTATGGAGTCGAACTACCAACCCAAAAGGCAGGTGGTGGTTAAAATTCACCTGCTGCTCTGCAGTTTAGAGGTGGGCAGTCCCTCCCGGTGTGATTTACAGCCTCTGAAGACTTGCTGGAGGGTCAGCTTGGAGATTGTTCTGACTTGATGGCAATGAATGAGTGAGTGTGACATCAGTGGCTTACTTTCTTCCTAAGGCTCATTTCTTTAGGAAGAGAACATGACTAGTGACTTCTACATGAAAAGAACATGAAAATATGAGAGGTCTTTAAAATCATCTGGTATGGATAAGCAGAATAAGTAAAGCAGTAATTAAGTGGGTGAAATCTTTGTTATGTATATAAAGAACTAGATTTTAACAAAACTGACTTTGGTGCTGGTTAGACCAGCTCATGGTTAGACCTTATTATATACAATAGAAGGAACTCTTTCCTAGTCCTGTGCTGTTGTCACTGCCATCAGTATGTTGCTCTGTTGCAGCTGTTGCCCTAATCCATATCACAGAAGTCTTTCATGCCCTCATTGACTTCCTAACTTCACCCAAAATGATGTTTTATTGTTGTAAGGTGCCATTGAGTAAAATTCAATTCTTAGTGACCCACTGAACAGCCAGTCTGAACCCTGCCCAATCCCATGCCATCTTCTCAATCTTTGACACACTAGAGCTCATTGCTGAAGTTATCATGTCAATTCATCACATTGGAGGTCTTCTTCTCCTTCCCTGACCCTCTATATTTCTAAGCATAATGTCCCTTCAATAGAATAACCTCAACTAGCTACATGTCCAGACTATGAAAGATGAAATGTTACCATCTTAACTACGAAGGAGCTCTCTGGCTGCACTTTTCCCAAGACATATCTGTTTGTTCTGTTGGTAGTCCATGAGATATTCAGTACTCTTCTTCAGCACAACTCAAAGGCATATGAGCAAGAGCCTATGGTGATGAAGGAAGAAGTTCAAGCTACTTTGAAGGAAATAGCAAAAAATAAGGCCCCAGGAATAGATGGTATACCAATTGAAGTATTTCAGATAACAGATGTTGCCCTGGTTG